ACTATAGCCGTACTGTCCATATTGATCACAGCACCTGTAGGTGCGATCGCTATCGCTATTATGGGACCCAAATGTCTGAATAAATCTGTTAAAAATGAGATAATTGTGGAAATGAATGAACCAAACGATGAACTCAATGAACAATTGACTGAATTAACAGTTTCTTAAGAATTTTCCCAAGAATTCACTGTCAATTAGATACCGGGGTTGAGTATCTGGACCGTGTGGACAGGCACTCACAAGTCAGTGTACGAATCAAAGTATGAATATACTGTAATTAAATGTTTGTATGAGTTGATTGAATCCTATATTTGCATTGAAATTACTTTATTTTATAAATCAATTTAAAAATAATTCAATTTAATTTGTTTCATAGACATAAAGAATATTCCGTGATATTTACTATTGTGAACATTATAGACTATTTGATATATTGTACACCATGAATTGTGTTTTTATATATAGAATACACAGAATATTCTGGTAGTACTTTCATCACTTGAGAACAGAATTAATTTTTTAATTAACACATTTAAGTAGTATTTATAAATTAAAAGTTAACTTATTATAAACTTAAATAAAATATATGTTTATTATGAGGTTCGGAAAAATGAGATCCCAATACACCCGTGATTTAGCTCTCACTAAAGGCATGTTTGCTATCTCTATTAACTATAGTAATTGCTCATCCATTTTAATTTTATTTCAATAATTAATTAGTATATAATTTCATGACTCAGTTTTCAATGTTAAAGCACTGCCTAGTAATTGAAAAAACGAAAATATGGCCCAAAGACTGTCGGATTAAGAAATAAGTGCAACATATAAAAAGTTAAATATTGATAAAATTCATAGTTATTACAGGAAAATAAGTCGAAACAATAAAATCCGATATTATTTATTAGCGTTTAACAGTAATTTCTCAATAAATGTCACACATTTAAGTTTAGAAATACGGGACACTTTCAATGAAATATTTGTCGCTATATATGTGTAATTAAATTAAATGCCTGCATTTTACTGTTTGGGTTTTTTAAGTAAATTCAAGCATGGACAGACCACTCTATGCAACGAACAAAATGGTTGAACGCGTGTCTGCGGCCTAACAATCTGTGGATCTTTGGCGGCGAACTCGGGGTCACACGTGAAGGCCATAACCAAAGCATATCTCGTCCCGTTGGTGACCCTCTCGAAGAAGTGCTCGTTTCTCTGAGCCCGACGTGAACCCCGAGACTCGTCCCAACTTAGGCTCAATTGTTTGGTTCGACTTCTCGTCCGTCAATATAAGGCGTCCGTCGGAGAAGTCCGCGCCATATGTCGACAAATACAGCAAAGAAGTGAATTGTTCGCACTTTACGTTCCCTTTTGTCGACGTGTCGGCGCCAATACACGTCGTGTTTGGTTCGGGGCTTCTTTGCCGTACTTCTTCGGAAGACAGTCATAATCGTTATGTAGAGCTGAGCCGAAGAGATGCCGAAATGAATTGCAATCGTTTTGCGGATTCTGTTCGTCACAGTTCTGTAGACTTCAAAGTCTTTTTTGGTGAACAGCTCTTCCGTTTGTTGCGTACTATCCATGAGTTTATAGATATTCACGAAATTAGTTGCCATCGAAAGGTCGCCCGAATGTAAGCTGAAGAAAGAGGCGCCGCCTGAAGAGCCGCCCAATGATAGGCCTCTCTTCGTCACTGACAACAAGTGTTTGGCTTCCGATTCAGTGATCACCGAATCGGACACAAAACGACCGCATCTTTGAGGAGCACAAGACGGGAACCGAACTCTGTCTTCGTTATAGTCTTGAGAACACATCACTTGTTGTCCGACTGGCGAACCCGTTATGGATTGAGTGGCCGAAGCCATCATTAGTTCTTTGGTGTCATTGCATTGAGTCGTGTAGTAAACCACCACAAGAATAGCCATCGAGAGTGCCATTAGACTCATCACTCGCTTCATAATACTCTGGTTTTGTGGCCTTTCGGGCGAAACTTCTTGAGACACCACTCGAGACACGTTCTCCTCATTTGTGTCTCCATTCCTATCGACAACTCTTTCGCGTCGATTGAGTCCATCCGAAGACATTGTGACAAATGAATTGATAATCCAATTAAATATTATTAATATTACAAAATGTTATTAAATACTTTGTATACTTTTAATTATAATACTTTCAATTGACGCAAGTATTGGGTATTAATTTTTTTTAAAAACACATTTTTGAGAACCAAAATGAGATTATAAATCAAAAATTAAACAATTATTTAACCAAACTTTAATAATTAAAACGATAATTTATATACAATAAGTCAAAACTAATTTACCGTAAGAATTTAAATATTTCAATTGATTTAACACAACCTTGGTCACATATTATTTTCCACGCGTTTAAAAAGTTTTTCTTAATTTCATCAGTTATTGTCATTCAGTACTTCACGCGACGTTTAGTCGAAAATCAAGTGCACCGCCGATGGAGTGATAACAAGAGTCTCGTAAAACACGGCAATCAAGTGGCTAGTGATGTGAAGAGATCGCCGTTTGATGTCATCATCGATGGTAAGGACAGTCCCGGCAATAATATGCGACTGCAGAGGATTAGAGCTGCAGAAGACGCACCAGAAGTTGATAGAGACGACGCTCAACGAGTTCTTGGAGTCGTTTCGCGAAATGGATGTCAACTGCGATGACCGGCAGAAGCGACAAAATATTCTTGTCTTTCAATTGAATGAATTGAAAATTAAGACCCGTTTCGATGAACGCAAAGAGTTCTTTGATCTGAAGGACAGACAATTCGGTTGTCAGCGATTCAGTCGAGTGAAGATCCGGAGGAAGTGCTTCGAAATTGTGTATCACTTGAATCACCGCAAGAATAGCATTAAATGCATACAAAGTGTCACGGATTTCAAGACAGTTCTCACGGACGAAGAGGCGATTCAATTGTCGGATGTGATAGAGAGAGCGGTGAAGATAATCGATATGTATATCGATGTCAATAACGACGGAAACGATGAGTTCAGTTGTTCTATGAGTATGTCTTCAGACATTGACTCTGTTTGTCATTCAATTGATTCATTTGTTTTTGTTTTTCACTTCTTATGCATCAGTGAAGAGGAGAGTGAATGGAGGACTGAATATGAGTGTGGATGTGATGACCGAAGAGCCGATGCATTCGTACAGAAATATACTGAAAGACAAGTCGACACAAGCGTTGGCTGAAAGGGAGAGACTTCTCAAGGATTTGACGGCATTTACGGCTCAACTCAAGAAAGATCTCAATCTGTCAATACTTTTGACGGGAAATGTCTACGACTTCGAGACCGTAGAAGTTGTTGATAATCAGACAAAGAGTTGAGGTTTTTGTAGACATTTCTTATCAGACTTTCATTTTATTAAAAACTCATTTCTCAAACAAACATTTATGTAATCTATTCATTAAAATCTATTCATTAAACACTTGAAAATACTTTTATACGGTATATTACTCTTAAACTCATTATAATTGATATGTTTTACAATACAATTGATTGTAATCTATAAGAAAGTGATCGTAACTTCTCGTCCAATAAACTGTTTCTCAATTCATGTCTTATTCTTCTTATACCGTCTCAAGTGAGTGACGACATGAGCGTCACTATCGGTGAACAGATCGCCGTTAAAGGGATTGTTTGGACACAAGTAGTCGTCGGCTTTTATGAGTCCCAACACCGGTACCAGTGATGCGTGGTTCAAAGGGGCGTAAAACAGCCGGTGCTCGTTGTGAAGACCGGTTCCCTCGCCTATCGGGTTCACAAAGTCCACGCCAGCCATCCAATCGGGTCCCACGTCTGGCAGTTTGCCCAACCATTTAACACAACCAAACT